TGGGCGGCTCGAGTGAGCCCCCTTTCTGTTGGTTTGTTCGCCTGCCTTGGAAGTTGGATTACAAACATTTCATCACCAGTGGAGGTGATGCTGGTGCTTGTATAGCTCGTAGACTGCATGCGATAGCTCTAAACTGACTAGATAGTCTCTAGGTAGCTTTAACGTAATTTAGATGCCCGGCTTGGAATCTGGGTTGCGTTGCTCAGATTAAGATTCCAGAGAGCATTGTCGATTCCCAGCGCTTCACCTACGTCAATCAGAAGAACACCCCCGACCTAAATGATCTGGGTCCGATTAAATTCTGACGGGGTCATCAAAGTACACCATAGGATCAAAATGCCAAAACTGGATTAGCATTGTACACATCCGAACTGATATCCGGCCAGCCTCGTGTGAGAAATTACACAGTCCAGAAGAAAGGTGTTTGCCTTTCGAAGGTGACGCTTTGGCCGAACTGGTGAACGACGAGTAATCTTCTGATGGAAACATATCCTGAGCATGCAACTAAACAACAATGAGCTTTTGTGTGCACTCACTCGATTACTCACAAGGGGAACCCTAATATGGTCGCACAACAGGACGACTGCCTGAATTGAACACCATCCAGATTGGTTAACCCGACGAATTAGAGGTCCCGATTGCGTTGAACTCGTTGCATTGAACATTGGATTGGTTCAAAAATACCGTCGGTCCTACTAAAGGTGGTGTACGGTGTTTCGATAAATCACTCGATGCTTGCGCGAAGCCAACTTCTTGTTGTTCTGGAGAATTTATCCACCGGCTAGGCGAACCTAACCAGTTTGCGAAAAACGATTCGTACGGATACTTAGGCGGCCGGCACTAGCTGCAGACCAAAACAACTTTCCCCTCCCACTGATTATTATTGGTTGACACGAACGTCAGCCATTCCGTTAGGCGTGGTGCTTATTGCGCACATTGCTACCAAACCTTTTACCTCTGTTTCTAAATGACTTATCTTATTTACGAACCCCGTATGTGGTATTTTAAATTGTCGAGAACCACACATTCGATTACCACCTGCTGAGTTCTTCTTGTAGAGAATAAATAAGAGAAACGCCTGTGCGACATGCACTGTTTGGCGAGATTAATATCACTCTACCGATCTATTTGATTGCCGAGATGTCCAGTACATGGCTACGGATATTAAATCCTTCCTGAAATATCGAGCTAGAACGGGCTTTCTCTGATGTGGGTTGGAACAACGAGAATGTATGGGGAAACTGGAGACTGAGAGTTTCGTAAATTTGGTATAAAGACATTGCACCATGGTTATTGATAATAAACGAACTCGCATACCCTGAAGTACATATACTTTCTATCAACTAGAATAATCGAGGCTTCATACCTACAGAACATCGGAAACGATCTGTGTTTCAAACAGAAATCGATAAAAAATTCAGTCATAATACAGATAAGTTAAATGAGGCTATGACACAACTTCAACGGACCTTCGCAGTGTGAAGACCTTTCCGTTGGGATTCGCCCCTACCTTGCCTTCTTAAATACGGAAGTATCTCGCTTCATAAACCTCTTCCAAAGAAACCTCAGACCTTATGCTGTATATATCATATTCGTACTGTCTTCAGTTCTGTTAAACCCGAAAATAGGCTCATCGAACACGTCTGATGGATGGCTATTTGAGACACAAGAACAGACCGAATGACAAATGGGATACTACCCAACAAAACCAGGTATCGAGTACCAAATAAAAAGCTAGTAACTTGCACTGTCCCACGGGTATCCTGTACACATATTAGATGATATCAAATGGGCATGATGGAATACTTATCCCATTATGAGCGTTTAATCTACTATTACCCACTCCTCTTCGCAGTAAATCCGCTGTCGATGCATCCATCCTTCGTGAATGTAGGACGACGAGATTCAACTGCAAGCTAATCAGGTGAGACCCGCCAGGTTCGATATGTAAGCTACGCAAAGCCGAGGGGTTTCTAAAGTTTTCAAACCGGAATCCTCGGGTTTAATATTATGTAAGCCACAAAGATATTGAGAAACCATGAGAACAATGAAGGTAGAGAACAGAGCTTGTTTTCTGTGATTGGCTAATACACCACAAATTTACATGGTGGCCGAAATCACGTGAAAAAGGTTAAGATCGGATGTACATAGACTTCAGGGAACTAGAAATCAAGGGAAGGAGTTGAATGAGAATTAGGTCAATGGGTTACAGAATCAGGTGAGTGACATCAATGTCAGACAGGCTTGTGGAACCGGATTTTTTCGCAGACCAGTTCAGGTTCAGAGGTCGCACAAGTTTCTTTAAGACGAAAAGTTGTGGACTCAGCGGTCGGATTCCAATCGCCTCTGCGATCGGTAGTAGTCTGAACCGTACTAGTCGTGATCGGATATGATGGTGAAGGCTTGCTCTTTGTCGACGACATGACTGGTTTCGGCTAAATGTGATGCAATCTCTTTGATGACTGGTTTCTTCCAACTACCACTCAAATATACGGGATTGTGTTCCCGCATTCTACCTGACAAATAGCTTGTTGTACGCCCAAAGTTTGATGCTCGGTACGAGCATACAAATCAGTACACACAAAAGCTTGCGGTAGAACGTGGCAATTTGTCCTTCAGGCGGAAACTGACAGTGGGGCTGGAGAAGGGCAAACTCTTATAGCACATAGGCTGTGACTGAGTCCCATGGATGGAATACACAGCGCATCCGGCAGGCTCCCACAATTGAGATAGTTCAGCGCTAAAAAGGCGAAGCTACTTACAGGTAATCCCGTCGTTCGAACCCGATCCTATGTTTGGACAACCTAGCGGCATTTCAGCCCACCGGCTAAAATAGAGTTGCATGGCGGCTATGCATCGAAGGCATGCTATAATTGAAAGATTATTAGGGTTAAGATAGGTATCCCGCAACACCCCCTTGGGAACTAGTTTTCACCCTACGAAATATAAAATATACTGAATATTTAGCAGCGGAACTACCGATGCCTAGCTACCATGCAACCCAGAGGAGGCACGAGGGCCGGAAAAATACAAGGCTGTCCGAGCCTAGAAAGGGGCCGACGAGATACCCAGACTTGGCTCGAATTACGTAACTTACTGCAAGCCCGCGCCTTAACCGCTGAGCTATCCCACGCTCAGTCTGAGTGTCTTTGATGCTTGGTCAAGCGCACCCTCCCACATTGGTTCGCGGTCATGCCCTGTACCAGGCTAACAGGTATCACGATTCTTATCTTTCAGTTGGAGGTGGCTACTTGCAAAGTATCTATACTGTAGCATCTATCATTATAATGCCCCCATCCTAGCGAAAGTTTCGGACGAATTGCTATTAAGCTGTCAGCTTCAACGTGAGATGCCCCCTTCTTCGCCACCATAATGTTAGTGAACAAAATGATAAAAACCAGTATAACTGATCCCTGAAATGTTATAGACAGCTGCAGGATGGCCTGCACTAAACTCTAGGTGGCACAACGCTCTCAATTACTTCCTAAAACTCGAACCTACGGAACTCTACTTGGACAGCTTCCGTTTTGACTGAGCCACCTGAAATATTGAAGTCAAAAAAAGTGAATCCATTCTCCTGTCTCAATTCTAATTAGGTCCTAGTCGGCGGCATCAACCGGTAGCATCCACACATTGGAGGAAAAACGCATTATAGCAGAAGAACAGATAATGAAATACTGACTTATAGAAACTGCTACCTTCATTATTATCAGAGGAAACAATATCACTGTCGACCCTGATGCTTCAGTGTCATATAACCACTGGTTTTATTTAATTATATTTGAAGCCCTGAAGTGGAAACGAAAAATACCGGATGGGGATGGGACCTAGTGCTGGCCGATTATGAGTTGCCTACCAATCCAAACACCCAATCAGGCAATCTGAAAAACTAAGAGCACGAACGCCATACGATGTTCACCTTGAAGTTTGCGGCCATCTGAAAGAGGAACGGAGAATAACACTTTCGTATGAGTAGTGCATAACCAAGCCACCGAAGCGGATAGTGCTAGATGCTTTCCGCGACTGAAGTATGCACCGCACAACCAAATACCCGCTTTCCGATTACCCCATGGAAAATTCGCCCACACCATCCGATACCAGCGAAAGTTGAAACATCGGCGGTCAAAAATGAATTACATTCAAAACGCCTGGTTTTGAAGACTAGAAGATGCCAAGAATGCATTCTGAAGCACATCAACACCAGTCTACTCTTCAAAAGAATAGTCATGGTGAAAATACTTTTGAACCTCGCCATGCACTGTACCAACCACAGACTAACTGTTAGGCATTTATGCGACGAGTACCAAGGGGGAAACAATGCTAAAATCAAATTGATAGTCTTTCTTCAAAGCCATCCTTGAAAGCACCACATTTCTGGACGTTCTCAAATCACATTGGTCTCTGACAATATCAGCACTAGTGTCCTCTATAAGGACAACGTAAGCTGCATAACATCAGAAAAACAGAGACAGGTCAGCAACGTAGATATTCACCGTAAGACACTGGCCAGTCGTGTATCAGACAATCTAACTAATACACGTGAACCACGATGGATTCGATGTTCGTCCAGCCTTAAAACAACGACAGAAATCCGATAGCCTGAGGTGAATATGGAAATTTTTCACATTAGGGTGTCCTCTAAACCCAGTTCAATCGAGAACAGGTTTCCAAACAGATCACACCTGTTTAAAATTTAATGACATCGACTGGCATCCGATCTGTAGCGCATTCACAAACAGGCGGGTGCTGCTAGATGATGGATTTCAAACCTAAATTTCTCGGTATAGTTCAGGCATTAGGTCGGTAGAAGTTCGTCTTCATGGACTACTGAAGTCCAGAGGTACTCTAGTAAGATGAGAAGTATAGCCGTTTCCAAATTAATGGCGATATATTAAAAGGATTTACACCAAATGACAGCAGGCCAAACGCAGAAAACAAAAGAGACGTATTCAAGTAGCGATATATGTACACAATCAAGAACGGGGAGCATGGAATTACCACCGCTTTTGAGTGCTTATGTAAAACACTAAAATGCGAGCGTTATTAAGAGCAGGTAAAATAACAAACAAACCATTGTTTCCTCTAATAAACGTATCTCCATATTTGTTCTTGAGCTGCCCGTCTACATATTCTTCAGTTTGCTCCAAAACTACATTCATGTAACCATCAAGTGATATTAAAACTCCTGTAAGGATGAGCTACCATGCAATAAAACCCACCTCGGTAGTCGGCTCCCGAATTTAGCTTCACAACCACCGGTCTCCCGATGATCAACTTCAAAAAATCGCGGGGAGTTTGCTTGTGACTCATCTCTTATTATTAGAAACGATGAAAATAGCGCTGAAAAACAATACGAGATTGGCGTATTGACAGTACAAGGAATAAGTGGAGCCAAAAATTGGAGTCATGTTGTTACTAATGTTAAGGCTCCAGCTTACAAGCCGGAAGGTCCGTTGATCGAACCCAACGTCAGCCTAGGCTTGAGTAACCTGGCAGTATCCCAGCCCTCGTGTCTCATTACGCTGACATGGCAGCTAAGCACCGAAAGGGCGCTACAGTTGAACGACTTTACGGATATTACCCCTAAGGACATGATGTCAATGCCGTAACAGACCACTTTTGATAGTATGGAAGAAATGGAGAATGGTAATCAGTCTCATGCCTTGATGTTACAAGGAGGGATGATTCAAGAAGTGACAAGATGAAACGTTTAGCCCGATTCCTAAAACTGCTCTTCAAAGAAACACCCAGGGAATTCAAAAAAACCACCGCTGATGGGAAAGGAGTGTTTTCTTATAGGGAGTAGTAGAATTGTATGTGCACACGGGTATTTCAAACCATCTTTCTCAAAAAAGGGATCTTTCATCTGGTTCGAAGTCTTCTTCTGGAACAACTGTGATCACGAGAGCATGGTGCAGCGTGGTGAACGAGCGTGATAGCCATCAGATCTAGTCGTTTAGATTACCAGGAACCAGTGAGTTTTGTGCCACCCAGAAAACTAGAATCAAGTCCATGAAGAAATATACTTTGGTACGAAGACAAATACTAATAAGGAGAAACTGCCTTTTACTGGGCACACGTCTATACCGAAGTGTCGAGTTCTGCTTCATCCTTCATTATAGCTTAGTATCTGTCACTCATTAATTGTTCCGAAATTTGGTAGTGTCGCACACCACGGCCAGGCCAAATACAGTCAAAAGAACATGTTTATGAGGCGGAATAGTGTTTCACTGGAACTCATGCTATCAGCCGTGACAGGCAACCAACAAATCTGGATTAAAGGTACGAAGTGTAGACTAAGAGAAATTCCCACTTCACTTCTGGATGTGTTCCCTCGAAAAAGGGAAAGTTGACTCTTAGTGTTAGTCTCGTGGAGAAAAGTACTCCTTAGGTGTCATTTCAGTGCACAACTTTAATGGTCATAAGTGGCTAAGGTCAAGCTAAAAATGCTCTGACATAAAAAAGACTAACCCTGCCACAATGCTATATCCGGAATAATGCTAAGCTGGGCTTTAAGCTGAGAGCACTGGCTCGTTAAAAAGGATATTGCACATTAATGCGCGAGGTCTAAATGGTCTAAGCCAAACAGCGCAATGAAGGATAGAAGCCGTGAATCAGCCAAGTGCAGCGAAACCAAATTACTACAGAAGGGTAATCAAAATCCGATGGAGGTCGACTGGACAGACCTTCGGTCACTTCACGCTATTGGTTATCCGTGTTTCCAGTATTCTCTCCTTGGTCGGACTACGAAAATGGTCAACCCAACAGAACAGAGTCATGCAGAATTTTCTCGGAAACCAAGTGGCAGCATAGTTCCTACCATTTGGTCTTTTGTTTATTACCAAGGGTGTTCAGCTGTACCTTGAAATCAGCTGGAATTACGGTCAACAGCAAGCATGAGGGAGTCCACAGGCTCGTGCGATCTCCAGTTGATACAAACACCCACGGTGCTTGCTGAACAGCGACCGCGGTGATACATAGTATGCGGGCATCTCGTACATTAGTAAAAGAAAAACCGGAAATCAGGAGTTAGTGGGTGTGAAAAAGCCGGAATGCACCCACCATTGTTGGTGGACCTAAAGACAAAAGGTAAGCAGAACGAATCACGGCTTCCCGTGCTTCTAGACTTTTGGGCATAGATTGGCTTCACACGCAGGATGAAATCTCCATTAAAATGACCTAATTCACTCATATTACCAACAGAACGGTGCTTTTTAAAGAACAATCTGAAATGACAGAGCGGATTCCGTTTATCGTCACACCGTTGAATCTCCTTTATGGAGAACATCATGGAGGAAAGGATGCCCGACAAAAAAACCACTTGTGGTGATGGTTTGCTGTGATCTAGAGTCGTTCACGCATGGTTAACATAGATGGTTTACAAAGAATCTTGTGTTAAATTGTGAAGACAGGCAAGGTGGAAACCTCACGGACGGCCGTAAGTTCTACGCGGCAACACCAAGTGAGTGAAGAGGAGACTAGCAATAGGCCTAGTTCTATCGTGTTGTGTCAGTCGGTTGTACTCTGAACCGAGAGCTGAAACTAGCTCAGGAAAGTCCGAAAAAGATGAGGTGGCGGATGTGAAATTAATCTGTTTCACGAATCCTGTTCACCAACACATGCTGTGAACTTGGTGGTGAGCACGTTATCACTTCCAAGTCGGACCACCCTGCTAGTCTATAGGCTGCTGTATGCTTAACTCGTCCGAATGGTGCTGCGAATGACTCCTGCTGCGTTTTATTAAAACAAAGCACCGATTTCTGTTTGAGTGTTGTGTGAAGGTGCTGTCATCGTTTTTGAGTTTTCCGAATGATATAAAGCTTTTCGCACAATCCTTTCTCTCCACCCTTCAATAAGACGTTTTCCGCACTCTTGCACAGCAGTGTACTGCTGTCAGTGATGATGAATGAAAGATGGCCTGATGCAGAATGCTGCTTTTTTCAGTTTGTCAGGAATGGCGCAAGTCGTGGACGGATACCACCCATCCTGAGAGGAGGCAGACAGGTAATTGTGACTGTCTACCAATTCATACCACGGAAAGCCACCCAGCAGCAGTCGATGGTCTACTCGATCAAAAGCTTACAGGAAGCCAAACACATTTACATTGCTTTGTCATTTTTCACACACGCCAAAAGTCGTCAACAATAGGATCGTTATCGATAACAACATCAGCTCCTGAAGGAGGTGCAACAATCGCGTGAACTTTGTTCAAGTGGTAATCACCCGAGTTGGTAAACATGCTTCCCAATCGGTTTCCCAAGTTCTCAAGTACAATGTCCGACTTGTGATATGACGTGCCGTTTTCGAAATGGCCTGTTGATCCCAGTCCATATTGAGCGACAGGTTTCCCGGTGGATATAGCTGGGACAGTTGGACGAGTAGCACCGGCTGGATGTGAGCCAGTACACCTAAAATTAACCTTGTACTGGTTAGCTCCCGCGAGGAAATAGACAGGCACAACGAATTTCGAGAAGTGTAGCTGAAGACACTCGATATTCAGCGTAGACATTGTTGTATATTTGCTCCCTTTTTCAAAGTTTTCATCATTTATTGCTAAATCACTTTCTCCCGTTTTCAGCTCTCAGTTTCAAACGTTTTGGATGAATAAAACCTAGCTTTCGGGCCCTCAGTTTTTTCCATTGTCATTCTGATTGTCGTTGCACTCCGACCCTCGTCGTACACAACAATTTATTCATCCAAAAAAGTTTTCTTCGAACAATGGATCGATTCTTACGTCCTGAACGATTCGATACCGACCCGAATACTCAAGACTCGGCAGATACCTGGGAGCATTGGTTTTATACTTTCACAAACTTCCTAGAGTTACTCGATTCTCATTCACCAGATAAACTGAAAACCTTGTTTAATTACGTCTCCCCTAGTGTTTACCGATTCATCAAAGACTGCAAAGACTATGAATCAGCCATCGAAACCTTGCGGGAAATTTACGTACAGCCGAAAAATGAAGTTTTTGCACGGCATCTTTTGAACACTTGTAAACAGGACGGAGCTCAGAACCTTGATCAGTTTGTGCAGAAGCTTCGCAGTTTATTGCCAGACTGCCGCTTTACAGCCGTCAGTGCAGAACAGCATACCGATGAAGCGTTGCGAGATGCGTTTATTAGCGGACTTTATTCCAATACTATACGCCAGAGACTGCTGGAACATAAGTCGCTGGATTTTAAAACCGCGTACGACCATGCAAAGTCCCTCGAACTAGCGCAAAAACAGTCGTTGTCGTTTTTGCCGAACACTCAACTTCCCTGTGCCACCGTATCGAACGACCCGCCAAAGTCCCCACGTTCTCAAACGTCATCGCACGAGCAGGCGACTGCTGCCAGTGTGGGGTCTTCATGTTTCTTCTGTGGCTATGCTCGTCACCCGAGATATAAATGCCCCGCTAAAGATGCGACCTGCAAAAACTGTGGGAAGAAAGGGCATTTTCAAAAGGTATGCAGATCTACTGGTCCGCGGAACACCTCATCTGTTTCAAGTGCGCTATCTTGCGTCACTGCAGCGGCTCCTGAGTGTCTAAAAGAAGCAGTCACCGATGTGAAAGCCAATGGTGTCCCGCTTCGAGCTCTTGTTGATACTGGTAGCTCAGAAAGTTTCATTTCCGAAAAGGTAGTCCGTCGTAACAAGTGGTCTGTACTACCATCGTCATCTGAGATAACTTTGGCATCTATCCAGCACAAAAGCTTTACTCTTGGACATTGCTTTTTAACGTTGCAACACAAACAAAACAAGTATCCCTCTTTCAAGTTTTCAGTATTACGTGACCTCTGTGCAGATATTTTGCTAGGACATGACTTTCTTAAGCTTCATAAGTCCCTGGAAATCTCATTCAACGGTGACAAACCTTCTTTTTCCCTTTGTGGTCTAATTGCTGCCAAAATTGAACCTCCCACTTTGTTCGAGCATATTGACCCAAGGTGTAAGCCAATCGCCATAAAGTCCAGGCGACATTCTGCAGACGACGAGGCCTTCATTGCTTCTGAAGTAAAGCGTTTACTTGCCCAAAACATCCTTGAACCCTCGAAGTCCCCATGGAGAGCGCAAGTGCTCGTCACGACAAATGAACGAAAGAAGAAGCGAATGGTGGTTGACTATAGTCAAACTATAAACCGATTTACGCAACTAGACGCTTATCCACTCCCCAGACTTGAAGATTCAAGTACTAAAATAGCTCAATATCGTATTTTCAGCACGCTTGACCTTGAAAGTGCGTATTATCAAATACCCATTAAAGAAAGCGACAGAATTTACACGGCTTCTGAGGCTCGCAACAACCTCTATCAGTTCCGTCGAGT